CTGTGTCAATGGAGCGGCAGCATAAATTTAGCGCGCGGCCCACCAATGATATCTCCCTCACAGTGGCCGGCAAGTCTTCTGCAGGGGCGGTTAGTCGAGCCTTCTCAGCAGACGGACGGCAGCACAGGGGGGGGCATCCCATGGTCGAGCTCAACATGGACAATTGGGGCGTTGCGTGGAGGCGCAAAATCTGGCGTTATGCAGCAAGGCTGGCTGCCACGCCAAGGGAAGTGTGGGCAGCGATGGCACGTACTTGGAAAGTGGTGGACTGCCGGAAAGCAAGGGGCCGCCGACCACACGGGCCCAAGCAACGATGGAACCACGAGATAGTGTAGTTTCTTTGGGATGCCAGATAGGATGTGGATGGGACAAATTGGCCGCACGCTGCTACAAACAACAAGTGGTGGAGAGACATGGTGCAGGCGTTTTGCTGCCATCGGTGAGTTTACTACTACGAGCACTCCAATTTCTGAGGGCTGCGGCCATTCCGCCCATTCCCCCAAGGACGCGGTCCGGCGCGATGGTGGCGATTCGTTCTTTCCTTCGTTCAGCAACGCGCTTGTCAATTGCTTATCAAAGGGCGGTTATCAGGTCCCTTATTTGCAGCTGTCTTGTAGTGTGTTGCGGTGGGCAGAGCACCCCAGCTGAATCCCACACCGTGGGTTCCTGTGAAGTTTGCGCACGGGGACCACGGACCGGCTTGAGCACCAGACTCGAACGGTACCAGTTCTGCCCATCTCACCCTTCCCTTGCGCGTCCTTGCCGCTGCCACTTCAATGGTAAATCCTACTGTGCCCGCCTTGTTCTCGCATTCAACCGCATTCATATTTTTCGGTCCGCCCACTGGAACAATATGTCCGCCTTGTTTATATTCATTTCTTACATTAATGTATTTAGTCTCTTCAAGCGCGGCTACATGCTCAACCCCGCTAAGAATGAATCCGTCGTCTCGTTCCAGGGTCGAGGGCAACAGACACGCAAGCAGGCTATCAAGAGCAAAGCACTCCCCATGGCAGGCACCCCGAACGACGTAGCCAAATATCCAGGAGCTCTTGTACGACATGATAGTAAATTCAATAGTGAACTACATGCAAGACTAGATGCAATAACAGCAGGCTACTGGTCTATGGGCAAGTACTGGTACACCCCCAGGATCCCTTATGTCGAACGTAGAGCCATGTTCCTCAGCAAGGTTGTCGGCCCCGCGGTCTCGGCTCTTGAGGCGTTCCTCCCGACTCCTAAGCAGGTCCTTAGATTGCAGAACAAGATCGTCGAGTTTGGACGACGAGCGTTGAGAGGAGCGGCCACAGAATGGCACAATGATCATCAGCGCTCCATCCCCTCCCTTCGAGTCATTCAGCTCTGGCGTGTCGCACCTTTGGAGATAGAGCTCAGAGCTCGCAGATTGAAGTGGTATCAGAAATGGGTCCAGCAGCCTCACCTCCATGCTGCTGATTGGGGTGCTCTTTCCTTCCCTATTCGTGCTGAGCGTGAACGCGATATGCAGATCATTGATGCGTCTGGCAGACTCACACAACATGCATTTCCATGGGCACATAGGTTTGTAGCTGATGTTGAATATCTTCGCAAGCTGGGGGGGAACACTCGGACAAAATCGACGACTGGGACTCCCGACCTCTGGCGCTTTTTGACGACCCTGATTTATCCGAATGGTTTGGCAGCATTGATATGAGTGAACTTCGAGCAGCATCCTGGACTGTAAGTGTTCCTCCCCCAGGGTTTCAGGCTCACGAGGCCCCTGCAGAACCCCAACAAGATCCACGAGATGGTGACGACGAAGAGCACGCATGCTGTATCAGAGGTTGTGGTCGCAAGTTCGCAACGCAAAGGCAGCTCACTAGTCATCTCCAGCAAGGGCATGGCCTCCAGAGTATCCTTGGTCTCCTCACTACCGATAATCAATGTTTCGTATGCGGCCAGGTCTTCGAGGCTCGGAACTCGGCCTACAAGCACGTTAAGATTTCGTTCCGCACGTGCATATGTATTATGGGCAGATCTAATACATTTCGGGTAGCAGGAGATGGAGGCCACACCACTTGCACATGCAGATTATGTATTACGTCTGGGCTCGAGCGTGAACCACTACACCTGCACTGTCGCGAACACTTCACACTGCTTCCGATCGTGTGCGATGCCAGACGGACCAGCGGTGGAGCAGCCAGCGACAAAGGGGTCGGGTTCGTCACAGCAGAACAAGGGCCCCATGGTTCCAGCTTGGGGCCTGGCGCTCGGCAGGCCTCGCGAAGACGACGGAGAGCCAGCGCCCAAGAGCCCCCGCAAGCCCGCGCAGCTCGACAAGCTCAAGAAGGACACGCAGAGGACCATGGAGACCACCAAGCTCGGCCCCTCCATGTCGCTGATGCGCGTCCTGACCCGACTGTGCATCGCCAACTCGCGCGACGTAGCCGGCCTGATTAGCGCCTCGTTCAGTTGTTTTCTGCTTCCCGCTGCACACTTCATCGTGATTGCGCTCCAAGAGGCGGGAAAGCTCTACTCGCCCACGTGCAGAGAGAAGGGCAAGGAGCACGGTCTGGGGCCGCCTTGGCCCCACATGTGGATGGCGCTGGCCAGGGCGCTCTTGGCTCACCCGAACACCCCCGTCAAGAGCAAAGCGGCCATGCAGGTCTACTGGGATGGGAACATCAACACCCCCGAGTCGAACTTGCAGGTGCTGCAGGGCCAGGTGAGATACTGCAGAATGCGGCCGACGTATTACAACCGCAAGAAGAAAGAGCAGCCGAAATTCTTCAAACTCCAGTACATGCTGTCGTCCGAACTCCAAACGTCGACGATCGCCTGGGACGGGGAGAACGTCGGCACGGTGCACAAAGCTCTGCCCCACAGCCTGGTCTCGCACGGGGGCCAGGTCAAGCCTGGAGGCCCCCCCAAGGGGGGACTCGACCGCGAAGCGGAGCGCCTGCTGGGGAAGCTCGGGATGAAGAGGGGCGAGGACGAGCAGCTCAGCGAGGACGAGCTCAGCGAGGGATAGCTACCTTGACTACGATCAAGGGGTCAGCTCGAATGGTCCAGATGGCGAAAGATGGCCTATTACAGCACGCTGGCCTATCCAATCTGCAAAATGGGTGCCCAGAGCCGATCCTATGCTACCAGACGCCTACTGGACAGGAGTTCAGAGTTTTTGTATGCAGATGAGTTGCAGCACACCATTTCTCTGGTGGGTTTGGCTCGACGGGCCTCGAATGTGCGATCTATGAGAATGCGAGTTGACACACAGATTGCCATAGTCTCTTCTGATGATCAGGCGCATCGCCAACTTGTGAGCACGCGTGCAAACCATGAGCTGTATCACATGGGCGATAATGACAGGATCTCCAATCCCCAGCCGTAAGGCAGGACTGGGTGGCCTTCGGGCGCGGAGGTCATTTTCTGTTCTGAGCTCATCTCCGTTGCCCTGTCAGTTCAATTGTTTTGCACTCAGCACTTTCACATTGTGCAGCGCGTGCGTATGCATGTTGATCTTTGGTTGTGCACTTCATATTTCCATATCATGGTGCAGGCAAGCGACCTCTCGACTCGCTTGCCATCCGTTCAGCTGCGGTGCGGCGCTTAGCCGAGGCCTCCAGGTCTCTCCCGAAAGGAGGCTCTCGGATTAAGCCAGTGGTGCCCCCCAGCAGAGCGATCTAGACAGACGCTCACAGAAGCGCACACAGATCCAGCATAGGTCGACTGCAAGTTCCAGGCGCCACTTCTCTTTCTGTTGCTTGCCATGTGTAGCAGTTCAGTGGATCGCAAGTGTGTATTGTCTTGTCTTGTCTTCTTCCTCTTCCTCCTCCTCCTCCTGTTCCCTCCTCGTCCTCATCCTCTCTTCCTCCTCTTCCACCTCCTCCTCCTCCTCCGCCCCCTCTTCGCCTCCCCCCCATCCTTCCCTCATCCTCCCCTCGTCTTCTCCTCATCCTCGTCTTCGCCCTCACCTCCTTTTCTTCCCTCGTCCTGTTTTGGAGGGACAGGGCGCCGCCTGGCGATGGGAAGTTCGGGAACGACGGAGAATGAGGGGGGGCCAGGCGAGCCACAAGCTGGAGGGCTGATAGGACACAGTGGAACAACCATTCAGACGTTTCCCTTCAGCAGGTGCCCCGTGCAAGTGCAATCTTCACATTTCCGGTTGTGCCACGACTCCCTGGGATAATTTTTTGGATTTTCTTGCATGGATCGTTGGGGGGTGCGAACAGTTTCGTCAGATGGTGCGTAAAATTCATTTTTATTTGCCTGGCCAAATGTTCCTTCGACATCCGTAACATTCACCCCCCTCGCGATACACTGAGTCCACTTCTCCAGGCGAACACCAGGACCCCCCACTATTATGACCAAAACCCCACTCACAGTTACCACCTTAGCCCCCTCATGATAATAATTTCCGTGGCACCCCCGCATTGCCGGCAGCCGTGTCCTGGCCAGGAGTTCACCCCCATGCCGCGGCCATGCCCGGAACGTCCATCCAGGGTCACGATTGGAGCCCCTTTTTGATCATGGCCTTCACCCCCTCGCAGACATCTTATCGGTTTTTACCCCTCTCATCGGCTTCGCGACCACTGGCCAAATTCCGGTTCGCCATGACCTTCACCCCGCTGGCGGTCATGACGTTCACCCCCTAGCCACGTCACAGCCGTAACCCCGTGTTGGGTAAGGGTCTACCCCAGCATCGAGGTTCTCATTCTTCGCCCCCGTGGCAACCAAGCCCTTCCCCCTTTGCACGAGCTTGCCTCTGGGCTCCGTCCAGCCCATGACCCGCACCCCCCTCCTGGTCAGAGCCTTTCCGCACCGATGCGTCTTTCAGCAATCCCATGACAATGCTTGGGCGCAGGACCAAGATTTGAGGCGCAGCGAAACATATTCTGCCGCGGAGGTGCAATGATTCCCACGGTTGTCCAAATAGCACGCGGAGCCAGAAACAACCATCAATAATTGAATGGAAGAGGATTAGATGGCGTCGGAAGTCTGAGTTTTGGTTTCCCAGCGAGGAGTGGAACGAGAGCAGCCCCCGTGACGGCGCCACCGAAGACGGCGGCGCCCAGGACGGGGCTGGCTGGAGCGGCAAGCGCCGGGAGGAGGACCGCGGCGGGTTCGCTTGCCGTTTCAGCTGTTTCTGCCCTTGCTCTCGTCCTCCTTTCAGGGGCAACGTCGTAGCGGGGACTGGCCCAGGAAAGTAAGCATCGACCCCCAATCGCCGATCATCGCCGATCTCCCCCCTCATCCTCAGGCACGCATGGCAATGCGGCCTCTCGACGCTCACCTCCGCATCCACCTCCTCATCCTCCTCCACCTCCTCCTCCTCCTATTTCGTTTATGAGCATTCATCTCATTATTCTTTTATCCTTCATATTATAGGAGTCACCCCCTGGATAGGCGTCATGATGGCCAGAACGGTCCAAGAGGGCCACCCAGACGGCCCAGAAGGCCCCCCGAGGGTGTCCAGATCGGCGTAAGACACTCCAGACCAGCGTAAGATATTCCCAAGATAGCCCAAGAAGGTCCAAGACGGCTCCAAGGCAGCTCAAGAACGCTCCAAGATGGCCTCCGATGGCGCAGGAAAACACCCCGAGGTTGGAAAACCGCGGAGACGTCCGAAGACCTCGAGCCTCAAACCCAAAACGTCCCTGCCCCTGAGCCCAGCCCCCCGCTGGACGTTGCCACTGATCCTTGCTCCAACCTGGCACGCTGATCACGTCTGCCGGCCTCTGGCGACGCGCTCCAGGGAGGGCGACGGCGGCGGAGGAGCCGCTGAGGCACGAGGGGAGCCGGGGGTGTCAGTCCAGTTGCCTGCGGCGCGAGAGCCATCCTGCTCCCTGCGCGGGGCGGGCCAGGGGCCCAGGGGTCAGGGCGCAGATTCGCCGCAGATGCACGCACTCGCGCACCAGGGGTGGGCGGGCAGGTGCGCGCCAAGAGCTTCCAGGGTCGGCCACGTGGGCTCCCGCGCGCGGTGGCCCGCCGCAGCTTTCCTCCCTCGGGCTCCCGCCTCCTCCCGGCGGCGCGCGCAAGGGGGTGGGGCGAGGACGGAGTTCTTTCCACGTGGCAGGGGGGGGCAGAAGCAGCCTGACCCCCACAACCAGCTCGAGTCCTCCACACCCTCCTGCGCGATTGCCAGGCAGTCCAGTCCTGTCACGATCGATTATTTCCGCACGTGCGTATACTGACGGATCTCGTTTGCAAGGGTGGCCATGATGCGGGCGGCTCGTCCGCCGTCTACAGAAGCCTGAAGTCGGGCCTGTCCCTCTGCAGGAGGAATATTCCAAAATAGTCAAAACAAAAAAAGTCGAGGAACGATTTGTTTTACTATTTTGAAATAGTCTCTTCTATTTAAAAATTCGTTCGTCCAAAATCCGCCTGTAGGAGGACACGCCCGACCTGACGGAAGCCCGCGGGCGCGTCTGAGAAGCCCGCTGCCCGCTTAGAAAGCCGCTTCCTTCGCACCCGGTCCATTCTGCGCGACGCCAGCCAGCCGCGTTGAACTCGGGGCAACGCGAAAGAGGCATATAGGCTCGGTCCCGCTCATCGCCGATAGGGGCCCGGCAGCCCGCCCCGCCCAGAAACGTGCGCATCTGCCCTCGGAGACCTGCCGCCGACGTGCCGGCGAAGGAGCTCGGCGTTTCCCCCCCCCCGAGCCCCCCCTTTATAGCGCTCCCCCTCACTCGGGGCCCGCGGCCGCGGCTGCCAGAGGCCATGGCCCCGGCGCAGCAGCGCCCGGCGGAGCTCGGAGGTGGGGCCCCCTCGCCGCGGGGCGAGGCCGAGCCTGGCGACGAGTGGGGCGAGAGCTCCGACGAGGACGCGGACGCGGAGAGCAGCGAGGACAGCGTCGCGGGCGGGGCGAGGCTGGCCGAGCTCTCGGCCAGGGCCGAGGAGGCCGTCGTGGCACAGCTCTCGGGGCCGCCGGGCGACGAGGAGGCCCGCTGGCGCGCCGCGCAGGTCCGGCGCTCCCTGGCGAGGGGCTGCACCAGCCTCAGGAGCGACTTCTGGGCCTCCTGCAGCGAGCTGCCTCGGCGCTCGGCGTGCTACGGGCACCTGAAGGAGCACCAGCGAGTGGCCGTGCGCTGGCTGATGGCGCTGCACGACACCACGCCCGGCATGGTGCTCGCCGACGAGATGGGCCTCGGCAAGACGCTCGAGGTGCTGTGCTTCTTGGAAGCCTTGGCCTCTCCAAGGCCTTCTCTGATCCTGGCGCCCGCGTCGCTGCTGGACCCGCGGCCGAGAACAAAAAGCAGATCTCGGCGGCGAGCGAGGGGGGGAAGTGAGAAGGGGCGGGTCTTCTCAGAAGGCTCAGAAGTCCCCCGGCCTTCCGAGAAGTTTTCCGTGCCTTCCCCGAAGACAGAAAAAAAAATATCTGAAGGCGCGAGGGCTTCTGAGAAGTCCCGGCGCCTTCCGAGAAGGCCTTCTCCTTCTCACTTCCCCCCTCGCTCGCCGCCAAAAATCTGGCAGGGGCGATTACAAAAAAGTATTCGCTCCTCGTCTGGGCCGCGCCAGCCACTGCCACGACGACGACGACGACGACGACGACGACGACGACGACGACGACGACGACGACGACGACGACGACGACGACGACGACGATGTGCGTCCACTTCCCAGCGGCGCGTTGCGACCCCCCCGAGCATTTCTTGATCGCTTGGGCGCAGGCAGTTCTGCCTGCCGCAGGGGGTATCGCACTGTTTCCCGAAGGCAGGATTGGCTTGTCTCCCGCGGGGACTGCTGACTATCCTCCTCAAGGAAGTAGTATTTGTCTGCCCCAGGAGACGATACAGTACTCCCCACAGGACATGCAAAACCCCCCGCAGAAACCATTGCAGCACCCCGGCCAGGGGCAACCCAGAACCCCCATCAGGGAGACAGTGCGATACTCCCTTCGGGACGCATAGAAGTACAGCCGAGGCGCTGGGATGAGGACCACTTCCTGCTCAGGAGGGGTTCCTCCTCCTCTTCCTCCTGCTCCTGCTCCTCCTCCTCCTGCTCCTCCTCCTCCTCCTCCTTCTCCTCCCCCTCCTCCTTCTCCTCCTCCTCCTCCTCCTCCTCCTCCTCCTCCTCCTCCTCCTCCTCCTCCTCCTCCTCCTCCTCCTCCTCCTCCTCCTCCTCCCGGTCTTCCGGCCGTCCCTTAGGTCTAGTCTGGGGAGCCCGTCCGTGGTTGAGGCTCACCCTGGCCAGAGCACCCATCGCTCCCTACCATAGCACGACGACTGCAGCCCAGCCTGGGGCACGTCCAGCACCCCCATGCGGGGTCCACGCAGGACAACTGGGAGGCTGAGGCGAGGCGCTGGACGCCCGCGCTGCGCGTGCTGAAGTACCACGCGACGGCTGCCGCGTCGCGGCAGGCCCTTCGGGCCAGGTTCTTCCAGCTGGACTCTGGGTTCCACCTGGTGATCGCGACCCTGCAGAGCCTGCAGAGCCGGGAGGACCGCAGGCACTTCTTCCGCCGAGCCGCGTTCGAGTACGTGGTCTGCGACGAGGCCCACGGCCTGAAGCGCGCCTGCACGCGGTCGCACCGCTGCTTCGCCCGGGCGCTCCGCTGCAGGCGGCGCTTGCTGGTCACGGGGACGCCCGTGCAGAATAGCCTCGAGGAGCTCGCCACGCTCTTGGGCCTGGCGCTCGCTGCTCCGGGCAGCCGCGGTTGCCTGCGGGCCTCCTGTGGGCTGCCAGCGGCAGCTGGAGCCAGGCCAAGGGCCGGTCGGTGCCCGCTGCGCCAGCTGCAGAAGCTGGCGCGGCCCTTCGTGCTGCGCAGGCTCAAGGCAGAAGTCCTGACCACCGAGCTGCCCGCCAAGCGGGGCGAGGTCGTCTATTGCGAGCTCCAGGGTGGCCAGCGCGCCCTGTACGACGAGGAGATGGCGGCGAGCCAGAAGTCATTCCTGAAGACCGGCAACGTGATGGAGGCCTTCTGGCGACTGCGGCGCGTCTGCCTCCACCCGCTGCTGTGCAACCGGGCCATGGACCCCGCAGACTTTTCCGAGTTGGTGACCGCCCTGACCGAGCGGCGCGCGGACTTCCAGAGGTTGCCGCGGCAGCGAGTGGAGGCCGAAGTCGAGAGATGGTCCGCGTTCGAGAGGCACAGGGCGGCGGTCGATGGCGGTCTCGACGAGAAGTTTCGCGTGTCGGGCAACGAGGTGTGTGATGCCGCGAAGACTAAGGCATTGCTGCGCATACTGGAGCGCCAGGCGGCGAGCGGCCAGAAGACTGTCGTCTTCTCGCAGTTCACGCAGCTCCTGGATGTCACGGAGGCCGCCCTCCACCTGGCGGGCCTCGGATTCTGCCGCATGGACGGCAATACGGCCGTGCACGATCGTCAGGACCTGGTCTCCGCCTTCCAGGGCGGGGCGCCCTCCGTCTTTCTCATCTCGACGAAGACAGGCGGCGTGGGGCTCAACCTCACCTCGGCGAGCGCGGCGGTGATGCTGGACCTGGACTTCAACCCGCAGACCACCAGGCAGGCCGAGGACCGCGTGCACCGGCTGGGACAGACGCGCGACGTGACCATCTACTACTTGGTGTGCCCAGGCACCGTGGAGGAGATGGTCCTCAGGAAGAATCTGTCGAAGTTGGAGTTGGATGGTCACTTCGGCGGCGAGCTCACCACGTTCGCACGCGCCGCCTCTGCCTCGGGTGCCTCTGTGGCACCGTCGCTGGCGCCATGCGAACACGACGGGCCCGCTATGGAGGAGAGCTGCAGAAGGCTCGTCTCCGCACAGCTACGACAGTTGCTCCATACAGAGGGCATTGACCTTTTGGAGGTGTTGCCAGAAGACGTTCCTGTTGACCACGTTGCACACAGACGTGTCACCTACGATACCAGAGACGCACGATGGCAGTTCAACTTTGGCACGGGGCTGGGGAGGGTGCACTTCCAGGTGACGGTGAAGCAGGCTGGCTCGCACGAGGCCGCGGGCGTGCTGGCCCGCTGCTGCTTCCTGAAGTTCGAGGAGGGCTGGCCGCTGGAGCGCGTCCGCCGCTTTCGGCAGGAGCACCTCGAGGCGCTGCTGCGGCACCGCGCGTCCTTCCAGGCCGAGGGGGCGGGGGCGGCGCCGGCTGGCCCCTGCAGCCCTCGGGGCCGCGGCGCCGAGGGCGGGCCGGGCGGCCGCGAGGCCTCGAGGGCGCCGCGCCTCGGCGGGGGGCGGGCGCGGCCCCCTGCAGGGCCGGAGGGCGGCGCTGCCGGGGGCGCGTCGGACACGAGCACCGAGTGCGCCCTCCTGCCGCGCGCGGCGCGGGCGCGGCGCTCCCCGAGGGGCACCAAGCGGCGCCCGGGCTGCGGCGGCCCCGCGCGGCCCACGGGGCCGCGGCGCGCGGGGGGCGCCCCGCGGCCGCCTCGGTGCGGCGGCCTGGACTCGGACACGAGCACCGAGTGCGTCGTGCTGCTGCCGGCAAAGGCCATGGGCCTCGCGTGAGGCCGCGGCGTGCCGTTGCCCAGTGACCGGGGGCGGGGCTCGCCCGAGGCTGGGCGACGGCGGGGTGAGCGGCCCGTCCTGCCCGCTCCCCGTTCCCGGCCCCTTCCGCCTCCTCAGCCCTCCTCTCCCTCCTCCTTCACCTCCCTCCTTCCCACGCCTCGCTCCTCGCGCTCTCCGCTGTAAGGCTCCTTCCCCCTTCGCCCGACAGCACAGCCTGTGCGGGCCTTGCGTAAGGGGTCAGAGTAGGTGGGGTCGGAGGATCGCGCTGCATCGCCGATGCATCGACGTTGTGGCTCGATGCGGATCCCGATTTGCTTCACGGTGCACCGGCGATGCACCGGCGATGCACCGGCGATGTACCGGCGATGTATTGGCGATGCGCTGCACCCGCGATGCATTGGCGATGCGGTGCGATCCTCCGACCCATCTGCTCCAATCCTATCTAGGAGGCCTCCAGTTGAGCACCGGGGGAGACTCCTGGCCCGTACCCCTTCGTCCCTCGGGAATTCGCACGCGGGCCGCCGCGCCAGGCAGGCATCGGGGGAGATGCGTGCTCTGGGGGCGAGCTGCCTCGCCGCCACCGCGGGGGAGAAAAGACATGTTTTGCTGCAGCAGGCCTGGCACAGTTTGGAGGGTTGCGGTCCTCACCCCTTCCTCGTCCATCCTCACTCCTCCCTCGTCCTCCTCCCCTCACTCCCTACTCCAACTCCTCCTCTTCCTCCTCCTTCTCCTCTTCTCCTCCTCCTCCTCATCATCATCATGAATCATCATCATCGTCATCATCATCATCATCATCATCATCATCATCATCATCATCATCATCATCATCATCATCATCATCATCATCATCATCATCATCATCATCATCATCATCTTCCTCATCTTTCTCATCCTCCTCATCCTCCTCATCCTCCTCATCCTTCTCCTCCTCCTCCTCCTCCTCCTCCTCCTCCTCCTCCTCCTCCTCCTCCTCCTCCTCCTCCTCCTCCTCCTCCCCCTCCTCCTCCTCCTCTCCTCCTCCTCCCCCTTCTCCTCCTCCTCCCCCTCCTCCCTCCTCCTCCTCCTCCTCCTCCTTCTCCTCATCCATCATCATCATCATCTCATCATCATCATCATCATCATCATCATCATCATCATCATCATCATCTCATCATCCTCCTCCTCTCCTTCTCCCTCCTCCTCCTCCTCCTCCTCTCCTCCTTCCTCCTCCTCCTCCTCCTCCTCCTTTTCTCTCTCCTCCTTTTTCTCCTCCTCCTCCCCCTCCCCCCCCCCCCCCCCTCCCCCTCCCCTTCCCCTCCTCCCCCTCCTCGCCCTCCTCATCCTCCTCGCCCTCCTCCTCCTCCTCCTCCTCCTCCTCCTCCTCCTCCTCCTCCTCCTCCACTGGTCGGGGGCATCCAAGGAGGGGGGTGATGACCAGACTGCGGGGGAGGATATCCTGGCCAGAGCCATGATATCTCCCCCGATAGCATGGCACCTTATTATTATTGTTATTAGTGGTAGCATTGATAGTGCTACGATCATCAATAGTATTATGGTTAGTACGAATTAGTAGTACCAATCGTAGCATTAGCATGCTTAGTCGCATGCTTATTCGTAGTAGCAAGAGTAATAGTATGGTTTATATTATCCGTGTTTTATTACTAATAACCATACTACTAATAACAAAAATACAAATACAAAAGATACGGGTAATAATGATACTTAATACGAATGATCACAATACGAATAATAATATCAACAATAATAATAACAATGATATGTAAAAAACAAAGAAAAACGTGTAATGATAACAACAACTTAAGCATGAGGCTAACGATAAAAAATGGTGATAGTAGTAACAATGATGGCACTAAGTTGAATAGCAGTAGTAGTAGTAGTAGTAGTAGTAGTAGTAGTAGTAGTAGTAGTAGTAGTAGTAGTAGGATAGGAGTAGTAGCAGTAGTAGTAGTAGTAGTAGTAGTAGTAGTAGCAATGATACGAATAATCGTCGAATCATTATTAATAGTAGTAGCATCATTAGTAGCATTAGTATCATTATCCATTTTCTTCTCTCAAGACGTCCCCTTGTCCGCCCCCCCCCCCGTCCGCGTACGTGCCCCGGGCCGTTGTTTGCGAACCCTGTTTTTGAACGCCCATCTCTTGGACGCCCCCGAACTGAGGTCTGGCCGGGCCGAGGTATAGGAGCGAGGCCGGCTCGGGGAGGGGCCCTTAATTTTTCTTCGGGGTGGTTGTGTGTACGCACCCCGCTCTGCCGCTTCCTCCCTCCTCTTCTCTGCCTAATTCAAGCTTCGCGCGGCCCGCTTAGCTTCGACCGGAAGAGTTGCGCTCTCGACCCGCGGATAAAAAAAAAGAGTGTGTACGCACCCTTGAGCGGCCATCGCTCCCTCTCTCCTCCTTCAGCCGCCCTCCCCGTCTCCTACCATCCTCCTGAATGTGTCCTGCACGGTGGCACACGTCGCCTCAACGGCATCCCCATTACGATTGCTCTTCCGCCAGCGCAGTTGCTCTGCATAGCCGCCGACGTAAAAAAGTGTGTGCATCCTGGGGGAAGGATACCCTGAAGGATGTTCTTCTGTCCCTGCTCCGACTGTACCCATGGGCTCCGACACCCCGCTCGAGAGTCCGTCGCCCGTCGCCCTCCCCCAGAGACAATGAACAGGCATCGATCTTCTGGTTGCGGCTGACCAGGTCGGGCTCCGCAGGCCCGAGGTCCAGTGCCGCGCGAGGTGCAGCAGCAGTGCGGGGTCGGTGCAGGGGCAGGAGGGCTTCTCGGCACGGGGGCGGGGCAGAAGCGCGGTCGGACCGAGGTGTAATGTCGAGGTCGGCTCGGGGAAGGTACCCTAATGTTCCTCGTGCTTGTTGGATGTTCATGTGCATCCTGGGGGAGGGCCCCCCCGAATGTTCTTCACTTCGGCCGGCGGGGGTCTCGTGTTCTTCAAGGATGCTATTCTATCCTACAACCCTCGTCAAAAATAAACTGAGGGATTCTGTTTTCGGTGATTGTATGGTCAGCGCTACTCCAATGCTGACGCTAGATATCTGACGTGGGCGCAAGGGCTTCGAAAATCCGACAACCCCGCCGCAGCATTGAAGAACGCAGTTTCTAACAAGTGCCCGAGAAGATCGACCGTCGTGATTTCCAACTTCGTTTCTGTTTATTTTTGACGAGGCTTGTAGGTCCGGCCGTACAAAGCTGCCGATGAGCACATAGTCGCGGGCCCGCAACTGTCCTGGGAGCAATCCCAGCGTTGCCGCTGCTCTATAAGATGTTCACTCGCCGCAACTACTTTCCTAGCTTCCACGGGTCTGCAACAATGAGGCGGTGGAAGAAGAAACGCAGGTTGAGGCGGATGTAGAGGAGTGTTAAGAGGAGTAGGCGTGGCAGCAGAAGTAGCAGAGGGAGGCGGAGGAGGAGGAGGAGGAAGAGGAGGGGGAGGAGATCATCTTCCTCCTCATGATCATCATCCCTCTGCTCTTCCTGCTACGCCGACTCCTGCTCATCCCCATTCCTCATCCTCCTCCTCCTCCTCCTCCTCCTCTTCCTCATCATCATCATAATCATCATCATCATCATCCTCATCATCATCATCATCATCATCATCATCATCATTTTCATCATCATCATCCTCATCATCATCATCATCATCATCATCATCATCATCATCATCATCATCTTCATCTTCATCTTCATCCTCTTCATCTCTCCTCATCCTCCGCCCCCCCTCCTTCCTCCTCCTCCTCCTCCCCCCTCCTCCTCCTCCTCCTCTTCCTCCTCCTCCTCCTCCTCTTCTCCCCCCTCCTCCCCTCCTCCGCCTCCTCCCCCTCCTCCCCCTCCTCCTCCTCCCCTCCTCCTTCCCCTCCTCCTCCTCCTCCTCTCCTCCTCTCCTCCTCTCCTCCTCCTCCTCCTCTCCTCCTCTCCTCCTCCTCCTCCTCCTCCTCCTCCTCCTCCACCTCCTCCTCCTCCTCCTCCTGCTCCTCCTCCTCGACCTTACACTCCTAATCCGCTTCCTCATTGCCTATCTAAGCCCACGCTGCTCTGGGCCCCGAATATGGTCGGAGATTCTTGGTTTGTGGCTCCAGTTCTCCTGGCTAGGCCTGCAGAGGGCGCTCCCCACTTGGTTGTGCACAACCCTGGCACCAAGAGATACAGGTGAACGCATTGCTAGTCTTTCAGTGAACACCGATGGGAGTTTACCAAGAAATCATGCCCGCTGTCACAGGGGACTGGCCACGTTGTGCGACGAGCGGGACAATTTGTATTCTGACGCCTATGTGGGGCCCACCCGTCGACCAACGCATCATACCCGAAGTACTAGTCTTCCACCATCAAGCTTTCATCTGACATTCAGAAATATCTCATCCAGCATTTGCTTTGGGCGACACCCTAGGACTGGATCCATCATTGATGATGACCATCTTGTGGGAACGGCCTTTCAGGATAATTTTGCTCTAGTCCCTTATCGGGACCCCTGGTGCCTGTTTCTGTTGTATTGCATTTGTTCGTAGGACCTGCCCGTTATCGTGGAGCGCCATTTCCAGATTCCAGAATTTCCCCCTCATCTTCCCTCTTCTTCTCCTCCTCCTCCTCATTCTCCTCATCCTTCTCCTCCTCCTCACGGGGCCGGGATGGGGACCTCGACTCACAGCTACCCCGCGTGTTGGGTAAGATTCCAGGGATGGGCACCCTTCGAGCTCGTCCTCCGGCTCGCGAAGCCGAGGCTACATTACGCCTCGACCCTTGAGTTGGCAAGGAGTGCTTTCGGAGCCCGAACCTTGTCGAATGCCTAGGCTCGGCCTGACCTGGGCGTCTGGCCTTCAGCGATACGAGTGGTGATGTTTCTTACGCTTGGGTTATATTCGCATCCTCCTCCTTCCCTCCCTCCCTCCCTCCTCCCTGCCTCCTCCATTCCTTTTCCTTCTATATGTATATATGTAGTAGTTTGTAAATATATATATATATATATATATATATATATATATATACATCCCCTATCTCACCCGGAGGCCGGTCAGAAGGGCGGGCCGGGCATTTCGCCTGAGACTTCCTCACTACGTAAGACCTTGATGCTTAAACACTGAAAACAGCTTCACAGATAGAGGGCAGGTGGTTTTCAACATGTGATTCTCGCCTTAGCGCCGCGCGCACTCCGTTCAAACACTTGTAAGAGCTTCAAGAATTGAGGGCGGGTCGTTTTCAACACGTGGCTCTCGCCTTAGCGCCGCGCACATTCGTTAGAAACATGTGAAAGAGCTTCACGGATTGAGGGTGTTTGTTTAAGGTGGCTCTCGCTTCTGCGCCGCGCGCATTCGTTCTAAGAATTTGGAAGAGCTTCACGGATTGAAGGCGCCTTGTTTTCAAAATGTGGTTATCGCTTGAGCGCCGCGCACATTCGTACAACAAATCCGCAAGAGCTTCACGGATTGAGAGCGTGTCTTTTTCGAAACGTGGCTCTCGCCTTAGCGCCGCGCACACTCGCTGAACGCATGCGCAAGAATTTCACGGATTGAGGGCGCATCGTTTCACAATGTGGTTCTCGCTTTAGCGACGCGCACATTCGGTTTAAAAAGCTGCAAGAGATTCACGGACTGAGGGCGGCTGGTTTCAAAAAATGCGGTTCTCGCCGTTGCGCCGCGCACATTCGTTTGAAACATTTGCCAGAGTTCCATTGTTTCTCATGGCTCACGTACCAGACATGATGTTTTAGAACGATTTAGGGTTGTCAGGGCTCAACAGTTACGTTGATTCGCGGTACTGAAGTCCCAGGAAAGGTGTTGTGGCACGACGCGGGATCGCCAAGACGTATCAGTCAGATTAATTCGTGGCGTTGAAATCCTCAAAGAATGGTGTTCTGGAACGCTTCAAGATGTTCACACGGCTGTCCCCAAACGGAGCAACGTATGTATTCAGTTGGAACGACTCGATTGCAGGAGCCTGTGAATAGAGAGATCTTCGAGAGATGGTATATACCAACATCGTTGATGAGTCTTGGATTTACCTTGGTCCTTCTCCTCCTCCTCCTTCTCCCTCCCTCCCTGCCTCCCTCGCCCCTTTCCCTCCTAACACAAGCGCCCGCCATTCTGGCGGACCGACATGGTCCGAGACCGATCCGCGGCCTTCGCCCGCCTCCTAGGAGGTGCATGCTGAATGCCTTCGCCCTTTCGCAACTGGAGGAGGGGACGGGACCGGGGCTGGGACCAGGGCTGGGCCGGAGCCGGGGCCGAGGCGGGGGGATGGTTTCTGAGCTCCCTCGCCGTCAAGGAGACCACCCCTCTCTCCATAGAGGGGAATTGCCTGGGGGGCGGAAACGATTTGAAATGGGACAAATGACCACCAAGTGGAACAAATCTCAACCGTTCTAGTACCACTCACGACCACTTTGATATTAACTCCAACCACTTTCGTACGAATTCCAACCAACCTCCATGAGAACCCTCACGGGCGTCTCACGGGCGTAAAACGTCTCTGCGAGGCGTCTTACGGGCGTCCCTGAGAGGCGGCTTACTGGCGTCTTACGGGCGTCTTAGAAGCGTCTCTGAAAGGCGTCTTGCAGGGTCGATCAGAGGCCTGTTATAATAGCTTCCGAGAAACATTTTACAGGCGTCTCTCAGAAGCGTCTTTCGGAGGCGTTTTACAGGCATCCTTGAGAGGCGATGTACGGGCGTCTTAGGGACGTCTTAGAGGCGCCTCTGAGTTGCGTCTTACAGGCGCCGTACGGGCATCTTACAGGCGTCTCTGAAAAGCGTCGTACAGGAGTGTCTGCGATGCATATTGCAGGCGTCTCTGTGAGGGGGCTTTGAGAGGCGTCTGAGAGGCGTCTCTGCGAGGCGTCATACAGGCGGCTCTGCGAGGCGTCTTGCACCCTTAAATTCTAATCCCTTAACCCATGAAACCCTCTAGTCATTAAGCCCTGAAGCCATTGAACCGTTCAATCCTAAACAAGTAAGATCTTGAATATTGAAGCCTTCAAACCCTTCAGCCTTTGAACACTGGAACATTTCAACACTTAATCGTTTGACCCTTGAACCTTTAAACCCTTCAGCTCTTAATACTGTAAGCCCTTAAACCATGAAACCCTTAAACCCTTGAAGTGAAATCCCCAGACAATCCGTAAACCCATAAGGCCTTAAGCCCTTAAGCCGTTCAATCCTTTAACCCCGAAGCCCTTAAACCCTTCAGCCCCTAAACCCTCAAGCCTTACCCTCAGCCACGCGACAACCGCTACGGTAGCGCAAACCTCCCCGCGCCCGGTGGAAACCCCGACCCGATCCCGCAGCCCTTCCCCGGCGACCCTTCGGCCACCTCGGTGGGCGAGGGTCCCCGCTGTGAGACTCGGGGGTCGGGGTGGCGGGGCTTCCCTGCGGGCTGGGGAGAGGCCCTTGCGCCACCCCCCTTGGGCCACAGTGGCCACGCCTTCACCGCCGGGCCACCGGCAGAAGGCGCGAATCTCGTCATTATTCCTCCTCCTCATCATCAACATCATCATCATCATCCTCCTCATCCTCCTCATCATCATCATTCTCATCCTCATCATCATAATCATCATCATCATCAGCATCAGCATAATCATCATAATCATCATCGTCATCATAATCATCATCATCTTCATCATCATCATCATCAGCATCATGGTCCTCATCATCCTCATCATCCTCATCATCATCCCTCCTCCTCATCAACAGCAGGAGGAGGAGAAGGAGCAGACATTGGATGAGAAAGACGAGAAAGAGGAGGGGACGCGGCAGCCAAGAGCAGTTGCTCGATCACGGCGTACCGAACAGTCATTGCCACTTGCTGGCCCCATCCCACTCCCTCCGCCCGCCCGCTCACGGGCTCTACGGTCAGGAGCTCTGGCTTCGCGTGTCGTTCTTGTCCACCACGCTTCGGCGCGACACGCTATCCACTTTCCCGTTTCGCAGCATCCATGTCCTGAATTTTCCCCAGCCTCTCCCCCCGCGGAGCGGAGCAACACGCTATCCGTTATCCGTTTGCAAGGCTTAGCGTGTCGCCGGGGCCGCCGCGACACGCTATCCAAAAGTTCCTGACCGTTATGTCTTCTTGCCCACGAATCTCCACCTCCACATTTTCCCCTCCTCTTGACGCGGGGACGCGGAGCCGCGCCCTCCCAGTCCGTGAAGGGAGCGGGGAGTCGCGTCCACCCCTTCCCCCACTTCCGAGTCTGCGTCTCCTCTTCCGCCCTCTGCGCCACAGTAGGCAATCAGGTGAGGAGTCGGCCTGCCCGCAGGTGCCCCACAGAAATTTCTGATCCCCCGATGGCCCCCGGGATCCGCAGAAGCTTTGGGGGCATTTTAAGACCCTCAAAGATCGACGAGGCGTGTGCCCAAACATTTCGCATAGCAAGATGTCTTGTCGTACGTGTCTGATGTACCTCCCCCTCAGCTGCCTCGATACGCCCGTGTTGATACGCAACACGTACCGTGCTCAAAACGTCCGTGCCAATACGTTGCATGTTGGCTCAGCGTATTGGCCCACGGCTTGGCGAACGTATCGCGTCATACCTACGTGTTCAGTCTACGTGTTGAGCTCCGTATCGATACAGCAAGTGTTGCGTGTTGCGTATGGGGCAGCTAAGATGTGCACGAATATGTCGCATGGCAAGATGTCTCATCGTATGTACCTAATGTGTCTCCCCAGCTGTTGCAAGAACCCTGAGGAGCCAGAGCCGCGCTCCCCCCGGCAGCAGAGCCAGCAGCACGCGGCGGCCACCCGGCTGCAGGCGGCCCGCAGAGCTTCCATGGCCCGCCGCGAGGCCTCGGCGCTGAGACAACGGCAGCCGCCGGCCACGCAGCGCCAGCAGACCAGCAGCCCGAGGCGACAGGAGCAGGCGGCGACCCGAATCCAGGCTGCCCGCAGGGCGTCCGTGGCCCGCCGCGAGGCCTCGGCGTCGAGGCAGCGGCGGCCGCCGGCCACGCAGCGCCAGCAGACCAGCAGCCCGAGGCGGCAGGAGCAGGCGGCGACCCGGCTGCAGGCGGCCCGCCGGGCCTCCGTGGCCCGCCGGGAGGCAAGGGAGTTGAGGCGGAAGTTGCTGCAGCAGCTGGAGCAGCTGCAGCCGGCCCCGCAGAGCCCGCGCCACCAGACCAGCAGCCCGAGGCAGCGGGAGCAGGCGGCGACCCGACTGCAGGCGGCCCGCAGGGCGTCAGTGGCCCGCCGCGAGGCCTCGGCGCTGCGGCAGCAGCTGCTGCAGCAGCTGGATCAGCTGGTGCAGCTGGAGCAGCTGCAGCAACAGCGGGCCCCGCAGCAGCAGCCGCAGCCAGCCCCGCAGAGCCCGCGCCACCAGACCAGCAGCCCGAGGCAGCGGGAGCAGGCTGCGATCCGGCTGCAGGCGGTCCGCAGGGCCTCCTTGGCCCGCCGGGAGGCCTCGGCGCTGCGGCAGCAGCAGCCGCAGCCAGCCCCGAAGAGCCCGCGCCACCAGACCAGCAGCCCGAGGCAGCGGGAGCAGGCTGCGATCCGGCTGCAGGCGGTCCGCAGGGCCTCCTTGGCCCGCCGGGAGGCCTCGGCGCTGCGGCAGCAGCAGCCGCAGCCAGCCCCGAAGAGCCCGCGCCACCAGACCAGCAGCGCCACCAGCAGGCTGCGATCCGCTGCAGGCCCGCAGGGCCTCCTTGGCAGCAGCAGCTGCGATCCGGCTGCAGGCGGTCCGCAGGGCCTGCCCGGCTTCCGCAGGGCCTCCTTGGCCCGCCGGGAGGCCTCGGCGCTGCGGCAGCAGCAGCCGCAGCCAGCCCCGAAGAGCCCGCGCCACCAGACCAGCAGCCCGAGGCAGCGGGAGCAGGCTGCGATCCGGCTGCAGGCGGTCCGCAGGGCCTCCTTGGCCCGCCGGGAGGCCTCGGCGCTGCGGCAGCAGCAGCCGCAGCCAGCCCCGAAGAGCCCGCGCCACCAGACCAGCAGCCCGAGGCAGCGGGAGCAGGCTGCGATCCGGCTGCAGGCGGTCCGCAGGGCCTCCTTGGCCCGCCGGGAGGCCTCGGCGCTGCGGCAGCAGCAGCCGCAGCCAGCCTCGGAGAGCCAGCGCCACCAGACCAGCAGCCCGAGGCAGCAGGAGCAGGCTGTGATCCGTCTGCAGGCGGCCCGCCGGGCCTCCTTGGCCCGCCGGGAGGCCTCGGCGCTGCGTCAGCAGTTGGCGCAGCAGGAGCACTGCCGAGACGTCTCTCTGCCGCTTGCCCTTCCTCACTTTCACTTCCGTCCCCCCGCTGGTGCTCCTGCCAAGTTCCCACTTCTGAAGAGCATTGGTTATTGATCCCCCTTCCAGCCAGCACTGGCTTCTCACAGTCAAAGTGCGCCCTTCGACGCTCGCACCTTGCTTTTGTCATGGAAGGTGTTGGTGCTCAAACTGGATTGTCCGGCCCCCGGACTACCAGAACGGCTCTCCCTTCATAGATCCGCAAAAATGATGCTGGAATCGCGCTCTCGCTCGAGCTCCCCGTGCAACTTACTCAAGAATCGGGCTCTTGCTTTGGACAAGTTGGCAATTGGCTCAGCCATCGCGCGCCCACCCTTGAGGAATCGTGCTCTCGTATGGGATTTTCGTTCAAATTGTCGAAGACCTACCTCTGCGGTGAACCATCGCCGCCCCGTTCGTTTTGGAACCGCCCATGTGGCCAAACGTTGGGCCGAAGTCTTGCCCAGCCATTGGATTACATATGTGATCCCCGAGCCGTTGTGGAAACCCTTGGGGGAACATTTCGGGGAGGAAGAGAGAAGATGAGCGTGAGGAGGAGGAGTAGGAGGAGGACCAGTGTACACGTAAGACCCATCAATGATGCTGCAATAAAGCCTCCCTGCAATGTTCCTATTCGCAGATCCCTACAAGGATTTATCTTCTCTGCGGGAAGCGGCCCGTTGGAAGATAACCATTTGAAAATCTTCAACCACGCCAGAGCACAATTCCTGAGACTTCAACGCCACGAATCAACGTTACTGTTGCGTCCTGCGTCCTGACGGTCCAGAGACGTGCCATAACACAATTCTTGGGACGTGAACACCGCAAATCAACGTGATTGTCGCGTCCTGAAAATCCGAACTCTTGCCACAATATCGCTTCTTGGACGTCAACCATACGAATCCTTGAAGCTGCTCTGTGGAGACGAGTCTGCGCGACGCTAAGGCGAGAGCCACACTTTTGAAAAGGAACCGCCCTGCATCCGCGAAATTCCTGCTGGCATTTAAAGACAAATGCACGCGGCGCGGAGGCGAGAGCCACATGTTGAAGACGGCCCACCCTCCACCCGGGAAGCTCTTGCAACTGTTCAAGACGAGTGTGCGCGGCGCTAAGGCGAGAGCCAAATTGTGACACCAAGACTGCCCAAGGGAGGCCCAGATATGGCCCAAGAGGGCTCCAAGACGGCCCCCGAGGCCTCCAAGCTGACACCAAGACGGCCCCAGAAGCCTTCAAGAGGCTCCAAGATAGGCCAAGAGGTGCCCAAGACAGCCCATGGAGGCCCCCAAGATGGTCTTGGAAGACAAAGCAGCTCCTGTATAGGCCCCCAAATGCTCCCAAGAGGCCCGATGAGGCCCTCAGAGGCCCCCAAGAGCCACCCGTGAAGCCTTCAAGACTCCTCCTCCTCCTCCTCCTCCTCCTCCTCCTCCTCCTCCTCCTCCTCCTCCTCCTCCTCCTCCTCCTCCTCCTCCTCCTCCTTTTCCTCCTCCTCCTCCTCCTTCCTCTCCTCCTCCTCCTCCTCCTCCTCCTCCTCCTCCTCCTCCTCCTCCTCCTCCTCCTCCTCCTCCTCCTCCTCCTCCTCCTCCTCCTTCCTCCATTCCTTTTCCTTATAGATAACTCCTCCTTGTCGCACCCCGAGGCCAGTTCTTTGGGCGGGCCGGGCGTTTCGCGTGAGACTTCCTCACCATTTATGATTCCGAAGCTTAACAAGTGGCAACAGCTTCACAGATGGAGGGCGGGTCCCTTTCAAAAAAGTGGCTCTCGCTTTAGCGTTGCGCACATTCGTCATAAAAAATTGCAAGAGTTTCACGACTTGATGGCGGGTGGTTTTCAAAATGTGGCTCTCGCCGTAGCGCCGCGCACATTCGTCTTCAAAAGATTGCAAGAGCTTCACGGATTGAGGGCGGGTGGCTTTCAAAATGTGGCTCTCGCCTTCGCGCCACGCACATTCGCCTTCAAAAGATTGCAAGAGCGTCACGAATTGAGGGCGGGTGGTTTTCAAAATGCAGCTCTGGCCTTAGCGCCGCCCTCGTTCGTTTTTTATTAATTTGCAAAAGTTTCACGGATTCCCAGGATCAACGTACCAGAAGTGGTGTTTTGGAAGAATCCAGGATTATGCGGGCGCAACACTTATGTTGATTCGCTGTGTTGGAGTCCCAAAAATGGCGCTCTGGCACGATATCTGGATCGTCAAGACGCAGCAGTAGGTTGGTACGTGGCGTTGAAATCCCGAGAACAATGCTCCGGTACGCGTCAGGATCTTCAAACTGTTGTCTTCCAGCGATGCAATTCCCTCAATAGAAATGAACCTTTGTAGGGGCCTGTGACGAGGGAGCTTGGAGGGACGATTAATTCCAACATCGTTGATGGCTATTGGGTTTCCACTGGTCCTCCTCCTCCTCCTCCTCCTCCTCCTCCTCCTCCTCCTCCTCCTCATCATCATCATCATCATCATCATCATCATCATCATCATCATCATCATCCATCCCTCTTCCTTCTAAATAACTCCTCCCTTTCGCACCCCGAGAGGTCGGTAGCGCGGGCCAGGTGTCTCGCCTTGATTTCCTCACATGCGGATTTCAAAAATGTCTCTCGCCTTGGCGCCGCGCACATTCGTTTCCAAAGTTTGCAGAAGCTTCACGGATGGAGGGCGGGTGGTTCCAATCTTGGGTCCGTCCTGGGCATGGCCTGCCGGATCGGCTGAGGCCCCATTTGAAATTGTTCAGTTACCAATGGGCACGCCCACAGTCTCTCCTGCAAGCAACAGGGGTTGTTGGCGTGCGGGTCTAGTGGCAGTCGACCACTCCCGCCACCGTGCTTGGGTTGTGGACCAGAGGCCTCTTCCATGTCTCTTGGGACGCCTCTGGAAGGCCTGTCTGGGCTTCTCCTGAGGGAGGCCATTGGGGCTGCCGTAGCCTCTTGAGAACGTCCCGGCGATCTCGGAGGCCAGCTTAGGGTGGGAGGATCATCACGTCAGCTCGTGTTCCACCTCTTGGGCATCTCTTGGAGAAGGGCCTCTCGGGCCGTCCTGGGGCGACCTTGGGGCCCTCTTTGGCCGTCGTGGGCGCTCTAAAACCTGAAAAGCCGACTGCGGTAAAAGTGTTAACACATTCGACGTATAGGCCTAAATCAGTGAAGACCATGCGTTTTGGTAGGGCTTCCATTTCATACCATACCGCAGCGCCTGGCCTTCAATGATTTCGGCCTCCTGGGCTGGCCCCCCAGGGCATCCACAACAGCGCGGACGGGCCAGCAACCATCTTGGGCCATCGTGGGCCGCTGGGAAGGTCATGCGACAGGCCCCGAAAGTTTTCCCGGTAGCCCCACATCCCTCCGCGAAACTTGACGCAAGTTGTTCCCGCTCGGCGTCGGCACCCACGGACCCACAAGTTTCAATGTTGATACCGAAACACGCGACTTGATTTTTTCCGTCGGCGTCCGCGGACCGCGCCGCGCGCGTAACTGAACATTGAAATTGGGGGCGCAGGGGGGCGGGGAAACTTGCGCCAAGTTTCGCGGAGGGTTGCAGGACATCTGTCTCTTGGGCGCCTGGGCTCTCAAAAAGTATTCAAGAGGCTTACGCCACTCCGCCGGTCCCCACAACAGTGAGTTCATCTAGAGTCGTGCAATCGTGTCTGGCCTGTGGGTCAGGAGCCCCTGGGGCGCATGCGAGGGTCTCCTGGAATGGCTCTCAGTGGCCTCTTGGAGGGCTCTTAGGGGGAATCTGGTTGGCTTTGGGGGGCCTCTCTGGGGTCACTGGGAGGCTCTTGGGCCATCATGTCAGTTCGTATTGCCCCTCCTGGGGCCCTCCTGGGCTGTCTTAGGGATCCCTGGGGCTGTCTTGCGACCCTCTTGGTGTCCTCTCGGGATCCTCCTGGGCCCTCTTGGAGCCGTCTTGGGGGCCTCATGGGCCGTCTTGTGACGACCTTGGCGGCCCCTTGGGCAATCTTGGACGCCGTGAGGACGGAAGACAAAAAGAGCATGCTAGAAACATACGTTTTGTTACAAGAATGGGGCGATGCTTGCCTCTTTGGGCTCTCTCCGCGGTCCTCTGGGAGCACTTGTGGGCTGTCGTGGGGGCCGCGTGGGCCGTCTCGAAGCCATCTGGGACCCGTCGTGGGGCTACCTTGGGCCATCGCGACGCTTCTGTGGACGGTCTTAGCGCGTTGCTTGGGCCCTCGTGGGCCGTCTTGGCGCTCTGGAGAGGTTCTGGAGGCGCCGCGGCTGCGTCTAGGAACTCCAACCCCCACCCCACCCTGGGCCCCCCTTTAACCGGATGTCAGACACCAGGGGGGGGAAAGGGAGCGGGGGACAGCCAATCACCTCACACGCCGTTGCACACCCGACAAGCGGGGGCCCCAGGGTCATTGGGAAGCTCTTGGGGCCATTACGGCGGGAAAGATTCGAGATGCCAGTTTGTATTGCCCCTCTTCCGTCTTAGCGGCCGCCTTTTTGTTGGTCCTCTTGGGGCCCTCTTGGGACGATCTTGGGGGACGTCCTGGACGCCGTTAAGACGAAGAAAAATAATGTATATGCAAGAAATATACGTCTTCTTCAAGGAATAGGGCGATGTTTGCCTCTTGCGGCTCTCCTGGTGGTCCTCTGAGAGCACTTGTAGGGGCTGTCGTAGGGGCCGCGTGGGCCGTCTCGAAGCCATCTGGGACCCGTCGTGGGGCTACCTTGGGCCATGGCGACGGCCATAGCGACGCTTATGTGGACGGTCTTGGCGCTTTTTGGGGGCCCGTTTGGGCCGTCTTGGCGCCCTGGAGAGGTTCTGGAAGCGCTGGGGATGCGTTTAGGAGCTCCAGCCCCCACCACGCACACCCCCCAGGTCAAAAGTTGACCGCATAAGCACACGTGGGATCGTTGTGACATTCAAGCAGATTGTATTAGCACTGCCGTATATGGTAGGAGCAATAACTAACCAAAGAGACCGTCCCCGTGCGTCTTGTATGCCGTCGCCCCGTATGTCTTGCATGCCGCCACCCCCGAGTATCTGTTATGCCGCCTCTCCCGAGTGTCTTGTATGCCGCCGCCCCCGTGTGTCTTGCATGCCGCCGCTCCCATGTGTGTTGTATGCCGCCGCCCCCGTGTGTCTTGTATGCCGCCGCTCTTCTGGCGCTCTGCATTCCGCAGCCCCCGTGTCTCTTGTATGCCGCCGCCCCAGTGCGCCTTGCGTGCCGCCACCCCCGTGTGATCTGTGTGCCACCGCCCCGCGCGTCTTGCATGCAGCTGTTCCCGCGCCTCTTGTGCGCAGCCCTTCTGCTCTACCTTGTATGCCACCAGCCCCGTGTGTCTTGTACGCCGCCCCTCCGTTGTGTGCCGCCGTTCCCGTGTGGTTTGTATGCCGTCGCCCCCGTGTGTGTTGTATGCCGCCGCCCCCCGTGTCTCCTGTATGCCGCCGCCCCCCGTGCGTCTTGTATGCCGCCCCCCCCGGGGCGTCTCGTATGCCACCGCTCCTGTGTGGTTTGTATGCCGCCGCCCCGATGTGTTTTGCATGCCGCCGTTCCCGTGTGCTTGTGCCTTGGAACGTCGATGCAGGAGCGCGGGAGCAGGTCGGAGGCGTAGGAACAGGAGGAGGAGATGGAGGACGGAGGGAGGGAGGGCGGGGAAGGGAGGAGGGGGCAGGGGAGGGAGGGAGGAGGCAGCGGCGGAAGGATCGTCGTCGTCCTCATCGTCGCATTCGCCGTCGTCGTCATAGCGGTCGTCCTCGTAGTCGTTGTCGTCTTCGTCGTCGTGCTTCCCGTCGTCGTCGTTGCCGCCCTCTTCATCGCCGCTGTCGTCGTCATCGTCCTCGTCGTCGTCGTTGTCGTCGTCGCGCGTTGACTCCATTGTAGGGCAAAATACTGTGCATCCGTGTTTTCAGTTCTCTGCGTTGTCACTTTACGAGCAGCGTGGAATAGTATGTTATCCGTCCCCCTGCGTTGCCACGTGACGAGTCGAATGTATTTATGTGCACGCCCCTGAGGGGGCAGACACCACCGCCCCACTTTTGTGGGATCGTGAAATTCGTGGCATGTTTATTGGATGACTTCTCTGCAGTTCGCTCGCATCCACGGTTAACTAAAGTCGGGTTCCCTCTCGGTTTTGTTGTCGTGTCGGTTGGGTACACCCGCAAAGCTTGTCCCACATGTACAGCCACTTCCTGGGGGCCCAGAACTTCGGCGATGGCATTCTGGGCAGAATATGTTGTGGTCCTCCCCTCATGTGTCGGTGGCATTCGATTCGTGGGGTTCGCCTGGGGCGTCTTCGGGACCTTTGCGACGTCAAGTCTCCAGCCCAGGAGGGGCCAAAACGAGCCGAAGTACTTGAGCTATCCCCGGTTCGTGTTCTTCGCCCTGTCTCTCTGCCTTGTCCTGGCGCCCGCTGCTGCCCTCTCGCGGTCGCTGCTTTTCCAGACTTGCCGCCTTTCTGCGTAGGGTGTGCGCGCGTGTCCTGCTGGCCTTTGGGTGCGCGTCCCGTTCCCCGCCGCCGTCGATGTTCGCTCGCTTCCCCTCGCGCGGCTTGCGCCCTCCGCCTTCCTGTTTTTCTCCTCGACGCGAGCCCGCTGGCAACCAAAATTTGGGGCCCTCCTTGGCGTCCATCCAGCTGCTTGCGGCAAGTCTCGCCACTGCCCCAGTCCAGCATGCTCCAACAACGGCCCCCGCCTGATACTTCCTCACAATGTCTTGCACATTCGCGCTCTCGCGCGGGACTTCTTCAGAATGCATCCAGGACTTTCGCTCTCCCGCGGCACTTCCTCACAAGCCGCTGCGGCGCCGTGCCCCCGAGAAACGCAAAGCACGCTCTCGCTGAGGATTCCCTGACGATGCACGTCGGAGTCGCGTGAACGCTCGACACTTCCTTCGTGATGGGTTGGCGCTCTGGCGGCCCGCTCGCTCGACTTGGCCATTTAGGCCCGCTCGCCCGACACGCCAGGCGGGCCCCCGCCGCTTGCGCTGCTGCTCCTGGCCCCCCTGCGGCAAATTCCTTTCGCGCTCCATCATTATCCCTCCCCCATGTGTCTCTTCACTCCTCCCCTGCTTCCCCTGTTTTATAAAACTGCGCCAAACACACGCGGCAGGGATGGAAGATGCACCCCAAGAGAGGGAACGATCGAAGACGAAGAGGAGGGGCACCGAGGTTGTGGGACGTACGCGTTGAGTGGCACGCGATCAGATAAGGGAGAACAGTCTTCAAATGATTGTTGCTGTTGTCGCTGTTTTTGTTGGTCTCAAGAATATGATTGTTGATCCCCCCGGTACCTGTCTATTTGTTCAAATACAGTGCCACGTTCCCAGATCTCGCACCTTGTTTTTTTTAAGCAGGGAAAGTCCGCGGTCACCAACGTGCGCCCCTGGCCCCAGGTTCACCAACAACGGTTCCCACTTGATATGTCCGCACAACGTATTTCAAATTTGCGCTCGCGCGGGATCTCTTAGCAGTTTATCTGGGAGTCGCGCTCTCGCGTGGTACTTCCCGACAGTTTATTGCGGCGCCGTGCCCCCAAGACTCACATATCACGCTCTCGCTATGGAATTCCTTACGATTTACTTGGGAATCGCGTACTCGTCCGAACCGTCCTTCATGATGGGCTGACGCTTGAGCGACCCGCCCGCCCGACCTGCCCGTTACGGGCCGCCCGCCCGACATTCAAGGTTGGGTCTGCCTCTTGTATTGCTGCTCTTGACCCCCCTCGTACAAATTTCTCTCGCGTTCCATCCTTCTACCCCCCCCCCTTGTCTCTTCACTCCTCCTCTCCTTCCCCTGTTTTAGGGGCTGCGCCAACTACACGCGGCAGGACGGGAAGATATACCCCCAAGAGGGGGCACGATCGAAGACGATGAGGGCGCGTACCGAGAGCTTGGGATAGAATTGTTGAGTGACACGCGAGCACATGTGAGCGAGCAGTGCAGTGTTGAAATGATTGTTGTTGGTGGTGGTGTAATTCCCAATATCCTAAGATGGGGTTCTTGTTCCCCAGATCCAAAGGATGGGGTTCTTGTTGTTCTCCATATCCTAAGATGGGGTTCTTGCTATTTCTTGGACGCCGCCGACTTCTCCTCCTTCTCCTTCTCCTCCCCTCTCCTCCTCATACCCAGACTTACTCATACACAGCCTGACTCACACTCAGACTCTCTCATACCCAGACTTACTCTGACACAGTATTACTCATACTCAGACCTACCCATACTCAGACCTACTCTACTCAGACTTACTCATGCTGAGACTCACTCATACCCAGACTTACTCATACTCAGACCTTCTCAGTGTCAGCCTTACTCAACACACAGCAGATTGTGAGGATGTCTCAGGCGGGGCGCTGGTTCCAGCACCCCTAAGGGGAGCCGCCAAGGGGTATGACACGGTCCCGTTCGCGGCCGTTTTGTGGGGATGTCTCATGCGGTTTGCCTGTTTCCTGTCCCAACATCCTTCGCTTGGAGAGCAGATTGTGAGGATGTCTCAGGCCTCCACCGCCGCACCGCGGCCTCGAGGCCGGCCCCGCGCCGCACCGCCCCTCCGCGCCCTGCCGGCCGAGGAGTCCCCGCAGGTGCGAGGGCGCCTGGACGCGCTGCTGCGGGAGCGGCGGCAGGAGCCGCGGGGCCTGCAGGGCCCGGGCCGCCGAGAGGCTCTGCGGCGGGCTCTGGCGGGGCGCCGTGCCTCGCGGGGGGCCTCTGTGGGGGCCGTGGTCGGGCCACGGGGCGTCCAGGGTGGATCCAGGCCTGGTCCCAGGGAACGGGTCGTCGAGACCTCCGGGCGTCCGCATTGCAACAAGCACGCGCAACAACGAAACAATAGACAGCCGAGGTCAAGGAGAAGTGAGCATGACAGACACTCTGTCATGGCGAAGCAAATTGAAAGGAGCAGTCGTGCTTGCACGGAGATTGGCTTTCAAGCCACAAAGGGGCCCACAGATCCCGCGTCACGGGGCAAAAACGTGACGATCGGTTTTTCCGAGTTCTGAGCGTTTTGAAGTCCGCGCTGAATCCTAAGAAGAAGAGCTGGTCCCCGGGGATAGGGTCGAGTGGTCAAGGGGGGAACATGTCACGAAACGGCATTGCCGTTTGTTATCTTGAGCTCGATGCAACAGGTGGTCCAGGGAGTTCTCAACAACCCAGCGTTGTCTTCTAGGGGGCACTCTGATTGTCTGAATGTGGTCAACGCCAAAGAGGCCTCCAGGGCTCTGCAGCGCTCCTACACGCGCCCCAATGCTGCCATGATGTTTTCGGCCCTCTCACCACCGTGGGTAGACTTCAAGAAGGTGAAGGCTCACGTGCGGGAGGGAGATGTGAACTCTTCCCAGAACGGATTTTCAAGACAGGCAATGATTCGGCCGATAGGGTGGCCAAGCTTCGTCTCAGGCCGCACCCTAGGCCAACCGATCACGAGCGTGAGTTTTTGCTTTGGCAGGTGCGAGTTTGCAAAGCTGTGATCAAGCTCGGAGCACGTGGTGCAGAACCTACTGGAGGTGCGACACATGTTTGCGCTTCAGACGCCAGGATAGCCGCCCCTCCCTTTCTGGGTGTACGGGGGAGGTTCCTTTGGCGCTCTTTGGGGTGAAAGGAGCGAGGACATACGCTTCTCGCCTTTGATTGCTCCGACGAGAGTCCGCTGTTCGTTTGTACCTCGTGCAAGGCCTACACTGCGTTGGGCCCTCTCAAGATCCTGGGTAAACCTTGCCTGGGGATTGCGGGATCAACGAGGAGTAATCAGAACAGGTGGGCTCTCGGTTTGAAAGGCCGTCACCCGAAGCACAAAGGTGTTTCGTTGACGGCAGATGTCTTTGTGTTCGAGTGATCTTGATGGCAGGGGATTGGTCATGTAAAAGCCCCTAAGGCGCTGGGGGTCCAGGATCCCTTGGGGCTCGCTGAGGCCAGCTGGGACTGCCACCAGAGCCTGATCGCGCATAGCCTGAAGCCGTGCCAAGGCAATTGGCTATCGGTCCACCCTTGGCCTCCTTGGGTGCAGATGTGAACGTTTTGGAGCCCCGCTGGCGCCCGCCATGTGGCCGTTTTCGGTGCTCGAGGGAGGGGGGATGGGGAGCGGGGCGAGGGCAGGATGTCCATGGGCCAGTAGGGGGCAGAGCCGAGTCGCACAGACAGGGCGCGCCGAAAGACGGAATGGAGCTTTTTGCAATCAGGCATGGGAGGAGCGGCAGCGGGCAGCGCACGGTGGGAAAAGTTAGAGTGCGGTTGGCAACGGCGCAGCTGCCAGCAAGCGTGTTCCGAGCATCCCCCCCTTTTCCTCACTCTCCCGATCATCTTCCTCCTCATCTATTGCTTGCCTTCCTCGTCCTCAACTCAATTCAGTTTAAGTCAACTCAACCTCCTCCTCATCATCATCATCACCATCATCATCAGCGTTATCCCCTTTCTCTTCCTACCTGCTCGTCAAGCGACGACGAAGACAATGATCGGTCGGCCCAAAATCAAGACCGATCTTTCCGAGTTGGGGACCCTGCGGCTCTTGCTTGCCCGTACCCCTCCAGTGTCGCCAACGGTGCCCGTGCCCCCAATGTTCCGCGCCCCTCACCTCCCGCCCTCCTGGAGGTCGTGCGGGCCTCTCCGGGAAAGTTGTGGCCACCCTGTGAGCCGTGAGGACCCCCCCTTTGTTAATTAAAGTTGTGCGCGGCCCGCTTAGTTTCGACCGGAAGAGGTGCGCTCTCGACCTGCGGATCAAAAAAGAGCCGTGAGGCGCAATCGGCTGTCCAGGAGGTTGAGAGCACCGCTCACCAAGCCGGCGAATTCCCGTGTCACCCGCTTCTCCCGCGTGGCCCTGCTTGGCCGCTTCGCCGAACCAGTGTTTGGCAACCAGCCTGCGGCCTCCCCCCGAGCTGGGCGACGCGCAGAAACGTCGAGGCGGCCGAATGTTGTCGTGTCCGGTCGCTGGAGGCAGTTTTCCGACCCCGCGGCCGTGAAAGAACGACTCGTGATGGAAACTTGTCGCCGGGGAAGAAGTTCGGGCAGGGCCAGGACCGAGATGAGTCGTATCGGAGCGTTCCAGAACGCTCTCAAAGCGTTCAGAGCGGTCTGGAACGACCGCGGCGCCCGACAAATCCTCCAGAACCGCTGGATATCAGGGATTTCCGACGTGTCCTGGTCCGAAAGTGTCCCCGCCCTGTCTTCGTCGCAGAGTGGTCAAGGGTGTGGTCGAAAATGTGAGGCGCCGCAGGTGATGGCTGGGCCAGGGCCATCCGAGGCCTGGGCCGAACCGCCCTGCGGCAAGGGCTCTAGGCGTCCTGGATTGGGTCGGAGTAGATGTGGGGTCGGAGGACCGCGCCGCATCGCCGATGAATCGGCGATGCGGCTCGATGTGGAACCTGATGATCTCCACGCCGACGTCGCCGATGCATCGCCGACGTCACGGAGGCATCGCCGATACATCGCCGATGCAGGGGGGGAAGGAGGAGGGAGGAGGAGGAGGGGGAGGAGAAGGAGGAGGAGGAGGAGGGGGAGGAAGAGGGGGAGGAGAAGGAGGAGGAGGAGGGGGGGGAAAAGAGGAGGAAGGAAGGGGAAAAACAAAGCATCGGAGGCATCGCTTCCGCCGAGGGCCCCCCCGACCCCCGGGCCGCGGGCGAGGAGGTGCAGGAGCAGCTGGCAGAGAGGCCCGCGGCCGCCCTCCAGACGGAGCTGCCCGCCCGCCGCCCCGTGCTTGAGATTCGGGCACCTGGGCCTTGCACATGGCAAACAAAGGCGGGCCTCGCCTGAAGTTGGGCGTCTCCCTCTACAGGAGGAAAGTCCAAACATAGTCTGGAGAGATGTTTTGATTATTGTTGACCATGTGGGAGAGACTAATTGCCAATTGTTTTCCTCTTTCGTCCAGAATCCGCCTGTAGGAGGACGTGGCAGAACAAAAAAAAAAAAAAAAAAAAAAAATGGCTTCGCTTTCGAAGGTCGAAGGAGTTGCCATATATGCATCGGCGGAAGGCGGCGGAAGAAAACCGGGGAGCGGCCCCGCCAGCGGAAGCAGGTGGAGAGCCGGCGGAGGAAAAAGATGCGCCCGCAAGGGATGTCAACATTTTTGCGGTCAGGGTTTCCGGAATCGGCCATATCGATCCGGCTCGACCAATGCCACAGGAAGTTCTGGTCCTTGTGTTCCAGGTCGTGATTGCCCACGATGTTGCAATTTGTCCATAAAGTCGGGTCTGAGGGATGCTTGCGCCGCACCCCTTGTGCGACCCCCCACCTCGCTTCCGAGGGAGCGCGATCCACCGTCGCTGGCGTGAAAGAACAGTAAAAGGAGGATAAAAAACCGGAAGAGACCCCTGGTTGGGTATGTTCTACATTTGTTTTCTCTCTTTCTCTCTCTCTCTCTCTCTCTCTCTCTCTCTTTCTCTATGTTTATCTCTGTTGTCTTTGTTGATATATATATATATATACACATACATACATACATACATACATACATACATACATACATACATACATACATACATACATACATACATACATACATATATGTGTGTGTATGTGTGAGTGTCTTCCTTTCTTTTTCTTACATGTATGTATATATGTATGTATAGCGTTGTGTATACATCCATGCTTCATATTTAGATATACAATAGAAGGTATATCACTTTCGATGTGCAACACACGGCCGGCGAACAATCGATAGGCCGCGCGAGGGCCCTCGCGCCGCCTGGGCGAGTAGGCGAGAACGCTAGCAAACACGAAACATGATAGACATACCTATGTATACACACACACATGTGTGTACGCCCCCTTTGCGCCAACACGAAAGTGTATCCACGTTCCCTGCCCGACGTTTGTGGCCATTCGGGTGCAGGTGCTCGGCCGATGTTGTACAACGGTTGGGCGCAGATGCTGGCCTTTGGGCTGTGCGCTTTCGACGCCGCGCGGCGGTGGGCCAGCGAGGTGTTTCACGATTACGATCTCTTCGGCCCGCGCCTAATGCTCCAGGCGGACGAACCTGAGTTCGAGGGAACGTTCGGGCAGGTAGCGGCGGCCGCGGAGTCAACCGTGGAGGAGGCGCGGCTGCCGTTGAGGGAGCTCGTGGACCAGGCAGTGGCCGAGGAGCCGATGCAGAAGCGGTTGAGGGCGCCCCACGTCTGCACTGAACGGGCCATGCTGGAGGACGCCGTGGCAAAGGTGGCGGCGGTCAGCCGAGAAGTGCCCGAGGCCCCGCCGACGCCGAGGGCCCGCACGATGGCCGAAACCCGCTTCCCGCCAAGGTGCGCACTGCAGCGCAAGAGAGTCGTCGCGGGTTGGAGACGCAAGGGTTGGCTCGATGGAAGCCTCGCCTGATCATGCTGCTTGAGGAGATGAGAGCGCCCTCCCTGGAGATGGCGCGGTCCTGCATGGATTCAGCACGAACGAAGGACGGCGTCACGGGCCGCACTCGCATCAACACGGTGGCGTCTTCGAGCCATGGAGACGATGCGCAGGTGGTTGTTGCACGCGCACGGTGTCCCGTGGCCCTAGACGATCGTGCACTTCATCGACTACGTGCACGCCATGCTGCCGAGCCTTGCTGGCAGACGGTACCTCACCAGGCTCTGCGCGCCATGGTATTGACGGAGCGCGTTGTGGGCCTGGACCTGAGAAGACTCTCCGTCACGAGCGTGGAGACGCTCCTCGGCTCTGGTAAATGCCCGACAACAAGGGCGGCACGGTTCCCCAGCGCGTTGATTTGGGTCTTGAAGCGGCTGGTCATGGATGAGGGCCTCGCGAAGTACCTCCGAGGGGTGGCGTGGCTCCGCCTCGGCAAGGCGCGGGCGGTGCTCCGCAAGGAAGACCACAGTTGTCCCGCCACAGCGCGTCGCCTTCATGGATGGCGGGCTGCCGGCCACGCGAAGACTAGCGGAGCGGGCCGTAATGTGTTGGAGCTGCCGCTAATGGTATCCCGTGAATGCTACACAGAAGAGCCTCGACCTGTGGCATAAGACCGCTGACTTCGACAGGGACTGCTTCTTGCCGCGGTGCGATGACGAGGGACAGGAGGTGATCCGCAAGCCCGCTGGGCACGCAGCGGCGGCGGCAGCGGGCCAGGAGGTCCTTTCCGGAGGATGCCGATGCCAGCGGCCTGCACGGGCGCGGAGGTCGAGCTCTTCATCCCCGAGGAGGCAGCGAACTTCTAGACAGAGCATTCGGAAAGGGCAACGATCCCTTCGGCCGCGGCGGAACAAGCGCGACGAATTACATGGGCAGGAGATCATTGGAAGGCGCGGCTACCTACGCGAGGAGGCACCGCGCCGTCGTCTCTAAGCTCCAGCAGCGGTTCGCAGAGACGTTGCGTTCCAGGAGGGCCTGCGCGGCATTGTACGAGGCGGCAGCCGTCCCAGACCTGTCGAACTGCCTACTTTGAGGAAGAATTTCTCAGTGCGGGAGGCGGCGAACATGGCAGCCGAGACCCACGCGCCCCTCCAGGTCTGCGCTGGTTGGGCGGCCGCGGCGCCCGAAGACGACGAGGGGACGGCATCTCCAGAGGCCGCCGT